GTGGACGTCAGCGGCGATGGGACCCTGTCCCACAGCTACCAGTATGAGGTGTGTCTGAGGGGAGGATCTGGGACCACTGAGTTCAAGTTCCTTAAACCAGCTCTCCCCAACCTCCCTCCCCCAGATCCTAGAACGGAGGAAAGCCACACTTTCCTGAATGGTTTTGAGTTCATTTAGGAATTTGATTATTGTGCAGAACTTTTATAATGAGTGCTATTTCTTTGTAAAATGTATTCATTGTAATGTAAAATTCTTTGTTTTGGGTAACTTCATTTTACTTAAGAGTTTTCAGAAGTTTTAGTGATTTGTCTGTTTTCTGCTCTTTTTCATCTTAATTGTCGAAAATACTAAGGAAGCTAGTATTTGCTTGGTCTTTCTTCCAAAATGCAACCTCAAACAATTTATTCAAATATATAGCATTTCCCCTTCGATATTAATGTAACGCTGGGCTCAGCCATATTCTTTGGCTGTTCTGAGCGCTAGATCCTCTCACTGAAATCTATGTTTGATAGAGGAAAATGCATGGTATAAATAAAAACCATCCATGGTTTCTAAGATGTTATTTAGTTTTTTTTTTAAAGCATAATCTTTCCGTTCTACCTTTCTGCCAAATATTTCAGAGTAATTTTTCTGCACTTGGGTATTTTTCTTTGTAAACATCTTGAGAATGGTATATATTTCTGGTAGATGTTATATTAAAATAAATTGTAATCTTGTTTGGATTAAGATATCTATCCAGACCACTCTTCTTGTCTGAGAACTTCCTGGGACTTCCCAAGGGAGTCATAACAAATGAGCTGTTTATTATACTTTTCTTTACCTCTCTTGGTCATTTTTTATTGGTCTAGTTACAGTCTCCTAATTAAAGTAGGAATAGTCACATTCTCCAAGTCCCTGACTTTGTAATTATGATGTATTTCATCTATGGTTTTTCTTGATTTCTAGTAACTAGGAAATATTAAGTATGGACTGAGGTAGCCATGTTTATACTTGTGTAGGTTGGCAGAACAGAATGGCATGTAGAGAGGGAAGGAAGTAAAGGAGGATTGGAAGAAAAGTGAGAAGGAATAAGGGAGTGGTAGAAGCAGAAGCCCAAGAAACAGAAGAGACTAAGAATCGCTTGGTTGTAGACTCGTCAGTTCCTGATTTCAGTGTTCCTAAGTCCCCTTTGTCTAATTTTCCTTGTGCTCTACAGTAAAACTCCAGTTACCTAATAATAAAACTCCTTTATTTAACCTATCTTGAGGAGAGTGGATTTCTTGAAACCAAAAGAGATAGAAAAGATACATGCTATCTTGAGTACTCAATTAGACTATTTACCATAAAACCTAGGTCTTTTGCTTTTAATTTAATTTTACATTTTGCTTTTAAATTAATGTAATAAATGGAATAAAAAATGTAAAAGCTCAGAAAGAACTAATCTATATTAGAAAATTTTGTTATAAAACTTAATTTTATAAACTATGTATGAGCTCTTTCAACAGAAAGATGCTACAAAAGATTTTATGGAATGGAATATTTTGTTAACAGGTTTCCATCCATTTATTTTATGTTCTCCAGGATTAGTTTTAAAAAGTAACACTGAAATTGTTATTGTTTGGATGTCTATACATCATACCTTCCTTACCATCTCTTTCTTTTAAAAATAACTGAGTTCAATGCGAGCAGAATTATTTCATCATCTAATGTAAAATCTTCAGGACCTATACATAATCCAATTTATAGATCATATGTGTTAATTCATGATTTCATTAATAGTAATTTGATTGACACATACTCTATTACTAGAACACTCAGGAAAAAAATTCAAGCTTCCTGCCAAGTATATGGGCTTAAAATTTTCTCCTTAGAAGAGAAAATAAAGAAAAAATTACCTGAGAGATGCAGATGGGAATGAAAAACTAATTTTGATCCATTCACTTACTGACATAGGTACCAGTTTCTATTAATATTTTTAAAAATGCATGGACATTAAGGGCACATTTTCTTGGACATTTGATTTCATAATAAAGAGTCTGGTCTATGACCAAGATCTTTCTATAAGGAAGATATCTATTAGATTTTTAACTGTCAACATATTCTCATATTTTGAGTTTACATAACCAAATTTGTATTTCTGTGTAGGGAAAAAACATTCTAAAATAGAATATTGGTTTGAGTGCTTTGTACCTTTAATAGAGTTGAACTAATATGCAATCAGTTTTTATACTTGGCCCATGCTGTTTCCCCAGTTAGCTTGGTATTAGTGTGCCAAAATACATGATAGTGTCTATTATTTAAACATTATTAAAATATTGGCTGAAGTTTGATGCAACTGGGGAGACCCAGCCCCCCTACTACAGACTATTTTTCCCATAGATAGGAGTAAAAGAACTTCAGTTTCATGCTAGGGTGCCAGAATCTCAAGCGATCCACAAAGGATAAGTGAGATGCTTGCTATAAATGAATGGCAATCTTCCTTACCTGATGTAACTTTTCCCTGCTCTTTCAGATGAATCCAACTTATTTCCTTCTGTACTTTATTTTTATTACTTTAACTTCAGCCCTTTATTTTTATGATCTTGACTATCCTACTTTTCAAGATCTCAGTGAATCTCTGCTTCAACATGTGGGTATCTTAGTTTTAGGAATGAATATAGATGTCTTTATATAATCTTTTGGACAATGGAACAAGTCTATACAATGTTCTCACAGAAGTACAGAGACATTCTCCTTAGACAATATCTACAAATAAGTCATCCACAATTCCTTAAGCTTTCTATTGAGTTTGCATAATAAACTAGCTCTAGCTGGTCTGTCACTTAAGTTTGTACTCCTGAAACTGTGAATGAATCTTTTCATCTACTGTGCTAGCAGTAGTGAGTTAAGAGTTTAATTGTGTATATTCTTTATTTAGGAATGGACTGATGCCCGCATTGTTTTCTAGTCAATTTCCCTGGAGAGCAGAGATTAGACAACATAGTAGACATTATACAGTAAACTCCATGAGGTCAGAGAGGGTGTTTGTATTCCCAGCACTTTACAGGGCGTGACATATAACAAGGAATTGATGAGCATTTGTTGAATTAACAAATACAGTTGGCTTTATTTTTGCATCCTTTCACAGTGGTGTCTGTCACTATTTCCACATTCATAATCCCATAGGAAAACAGAAGTTATCATTTTATTTATAAACCATCCCATATTTAATCTGTGGTTTGCTTTTGTGTGTTTATTAATCAAAGCAAGGGTGGTATGTTTTGTAGCAATTTCAGCGAACTAGATTTAAGTACAACACAGGGTGGCGCTGTAACCTAAGGTTGCGGAAAAACAGACCTGCGGATGGTTACGGTGCCGGCAGTCACACCCATCTAAGAGAAGATAATTCTTTACGGAATTACCTTGCGGCAAGGGACTGACTCCTGGAGCGGACTGCCTAAAGACCAAACAGGCACTCAGATTCTAAAGACTTTTGGCGTTGGAGAAATGGAGGCTGCAAAGGAGCACTTTCCTAGACTAAGGCAAGTTCTTCTCTTTGTTTTGCTGTCTCACACTTGGGCGGAGCAGGAAGATTACCGTATCGCTGAAGAAACAGAGCGTGGCTCTTTTGTGGCCAATCTAGCAAAGGACAAAGGGCTAGCGGTAAGAGAGCTGTCTTGGCGGAGGGCTCGGATCATTTTTACAAATGACAAAAAATATTTTCAGCTGAACCTTCAGACGGGAGATTTACAAGTAAATGATAAACTGGATCGGGAGGAACTGTGTGGCCCCATGGAGCCTTGTGTACTGCAATTCCAAGTGTTACTGGAAGAACCTTTAGAGGTATATAGGTATAAGCTTTTGGTCACTGACATAAATGACAATTCCCCTGTGTTCCCAGAAGCAGAAATGATTTTGAAAATCATGGAAAATACTCTTCCAGGGACTGCGTTTCCCCTGAAAAATGCACAAGATTTGGATGTAGGTATCAATAATATCCAAAACTACACCATTTATCCCAACTCCCATTTCCATGTTCTTACCCACAATAGCGGTGAAGGAAGAAAATACCCGGAACTGGTTCTGGACAAAGTGCTAGATCGAGAGGAGCAGCCTGAGCTTAAGTTAACTCTCCTGGCAGTAGATGGTGGAGTTCCTCCTAAAACTGGGACTGCCTTGGTCCTCATTGATATCTTGGACATCAATGACAATGCCCCCGAGTTTGCGCAGCCACTCTATCATGTACAGATCGTGGAAAACAGTCCTCTGGGATCGGTTATTGTCACTGTTTCAGCTAGAGATTTAGACACAGGAACAAATGGTGAAGTATTCTATTCATTTTTTTATGGCGATGAAGAGATTAGTAGGACATTTGCACTTGATGAACTCACAGGAGAAATTAAAATAATTAGGACACTAGATTTTGAAAAAATTATGTCATATGAGCTGGATATTAAGGCTTCTGATGGGGCAGGTCTTTCTGGAAAATGCACTGTCATAATAGAGGTGGTGGATATAAATGACAACACCCCAGAACTGACGGTGGCTTCACTTATAAGCTCCATCCCAGAAAATTCCCCTGAGACCACGATAGCTCTTTTCAGTATTCAAGACCAAGATTCTGGGGACAATGGGAGGATGGTTTGTTCCATCCAAGAAGATGTTCCGTTCACTCTGAAACCTTCCGTTGAGAATTTCTACAAGCTAGTAACAGAAGGAGAGCTAGACAGAGAGAGCCAGGCCGAGTACAACATCACCATCACCGTCACCGACCTGGGAACCCCCAGGCTGAA